CACTCTACAAATCACGCCCTCATTCAGACGATTGAGAAAATAACAGCGGCGATTGACAACCAATTATTTGTTGTTGGAGTCTTTCTCGACCTATCTAAGGCGTTTGATTCGATAGATCACAAAGTTCTTCTACAAAAACTACCTTATTGTGGCATCAGAGGTCTTGTACTTAAATGGTTTTGTAGTTATTTGTGGAGTGGAAGAGAACAATCTGTAGCTTTAGATAATATACAGTCTGAAAGAAAGTTGGTAAAGTATGGAGTTCCCCAGGGATCTATCCTGGGTCCATTGTTATTTTTACTATTTGTCAATGATATGCCTTCAGTATGTACCAAAACTCAATTAATAACATTTGCAGATGATACCAATGTTTTCTTAAAACATAGTAACATAAATGAAGCATTCGATATAATGAATGAGGAGTTAAAACGCTTAAATATGTGATTTAAAGCAAACAAGCTTACTGTTAATACCAACAAAAACTAAATTGATGGTGTTTAGAGTGGTAGAAATACAATTATTAACACAGCGCATGTCGAACTCGTCATTGACCAAGATATTATTCAGAGAGTAGACAAAATTAAATTCCTTGGTATCACTCTTGATGAAAAAATTAATTTTTCTCAACATGTAAATGTTATTGCTAGTAAGGTGTCTGCAATTATTGGAGCAATGAATCTCCTTAAAAATCTGCTACCATATCACATACTGCTTACTATTTATAAGTCTCTTGTCCTTCCTATTATAACGTATGGGATCACGATATGGGGTTCTGGTAGCATGACAAACTTAAATAGAATCCATGTATTACAGAAGAAAGCACTTAGAATCGTATGTAATGTAGGCCTACATTATCTACACCCATCTGCTCAACTTTTTGTTAAAACCAATACTTTAAACATATTTGATTTATACGAAAAAAATGTAGCCAACTTAATGTTTTTATATGATAAGGGTTTATTACCAGAATCTTTTGATTTGTTGTTCCGTACACTTGACTCGTACCATAATCATAATACACGATATAAGCAAAAACTTGTTATCGACTTAAAACGCACAAATGTTGGCCGACAAGGGATCTCGTATATAGGGCCTAAGGTGTGGAACAACATATCAAGCAATGTAAGAGCATGTGCTAAAATTTCACTATTTAAGAACAAAATGAATAATATTTATCATGAAAGTTATAAGATGAAACGGTACCACTGCCAGGAAAAACTTTATAATAAAAATTTATATTACAACAAAGATACACATTTGCAGGGGTCCCAAGTTGGAAAAAGGCAATTCGTGAAGCAGGGGTGGAGCCAGTGCAGTGGGAGGGAACAGGGGGAACACCCATCTCTTGGGGAGAAAATCCACAATTCCACATTTAGAACTCCCGATCTACGGCCAATTTGTTTCCGTCTTGCGGGCATCTGATACCAATTTAATTGTTATTTAGGGCCTACCATGTTGTATATTTGCCTTTACAGCATTATTATTTATTATTATTATTATTATTGTTATTATTATTTATATATACATACATATATATAAATATTATATATATATGTATGTATGTATGTACTGTCTCTTATACACATCTAGATGTGTATAAGAGACAGGCATTATCCTGTGCCTGGTGACGGAAAAGGTCATAGGCACATCTGATAGCGTTGTATACCGAATTGCACAGGTAACATGATATAAGGGCCAATGGCCTATATTGGTGATGAATGAATCCCTATTCAGGGGAACGATGAACTGAACTAAAGAAAGAACCAAGAATATAACATTTTAAAATGTAACAACTAAAATTTGTAAAATGGAACCAAATATACATAAAATAACTATAAAACATTCTCAATAAGATACTTTCAGAAAGTGCACATAACAAGGATTACGATGACGAAGACAATGACGATGATGATGATGATAATGACGACGATGATAATGCTTTTACTTCTATAGCGCAAGCTAATGAGGTCCCTATATCCTTCAACACCTAACAAAACCGAAGAACATACCAAACATGTAAAAGCAAATGAAAAAAAAGATGAAGGTAGAATATCAGTCTAGCTACCAAAGTCCATGCGCTTATATCTGGACAACAGGCTAAGTAGAGAAATGCTTAGAAGAGTAAAGAAATTTCCCTTGCGGTAACAAGACCTAAGGATTTCTAAAACCTTGAAAATGGCATGCCAACTGGGTTATGAAGAAGCAACAAACGTAATTACTAACAAACTACAGTATGCTTCACTTGATGCCTAAGGTCTATCTTGGCCATCCACAGCAGGGCCGTCGGAACCGCACCGGCAGCACCGGCTTTGGCCGGACCACTTTTTATCAATTTTATTACTTTTTTAAAATAATTATATACTGATACCTATAAATTATACGAATTAGGCTAATTATTAATGTCTTTTTAATGTTATTAAATTTAAACAAAAACCCAACATGCACTCTGTCTCTTATACACATCTATACCACTGCTAAGGGGACCATATGTCCCTCTCCGCCGGCAATGTGATGGTTCGTGAGTTCCAACCCCCAGCTCCATCCAACTTGGGAGTAGGCCTATATGGTACCTACGTTTTGACAATGGCTGATAGTCAAAGTACAAGAGATGTTGACATAAAATGTACGCACAACTTCTTTATGCAGCATTGCAAGGGGCGTTCAAGAAGAATCGATTTTAAAGTCCATTAATTTGTAGAAAATACATACACATTTTATTTCTCCCTGAAGAATTGTAGCCTATCTCCCCAACGCCGGGGGGGGGGGGAGCTCTCCTCGACGGAGAGCCTGCCCCTTCCCCTCCCTCTGCTGGCGTCACCCCTGAGGTGCAAATCGGAATCGTTCACGACAGATGAAACATTGTCCATATTTGTAGCTCTATTGTAAAATGAGACTCCTCCTTACACCAAAATAAGAGTAGCAAAAAAGCAATTGCTGTGGTACAGTATACCTGTCAAACAGGATAGCTAAAGTTCCTCTTCAAAGCCTCCTTCACACTGCACTGAGAATTATCAAAAAACATAAAACGACCATTATCGATACTTTTACAATATAGGCCTAATATGATTGAGGACGGAATTAATATATCATGAAATTGGTGTAGGCCTAATGTCTGATAATTCCATGGAATCTCAAATGTAAACACATTTTACATTTAAAAAAATGCAAAAATTTGGTTATCTGGTATTATTATAAATTTTGATTTCGATTTCGATTTCGATTTCGATTTATTAAAAAAAAACCACATTTATATTCACTGTAAAATTAACAATAGAAATTTTAATGTTGGCCTATGCCTAAAACACTTTTGGCCCCGTCCAATCAGAAAAATGTATTTTGATGACGTCATTGAAAATGCAAAAAGTTTCCCACAGAAGTTCTTTTGTCCCAAACCTCCTTAAAACATTAAAAAAATCATTGCAATATGAACTTGTTTTGGTATTACAATGAAAACTGTCATCGTCCAATCAGAAAACAGTACAAAAATGACCTCATATAGATTTGGAAATGGTTTTATTGAATTCTACGGGTATGAAAACCTCTAAATAAGTCTTGTATTCGCTTAGATTTGCTTCTGTAATGAGTTATTAATTTTGGCACACTTTGACTTCAGTCTGGCCCACTGTGCGTCGTAAATATTCAGTCTGACTACGGACGTTGGTACAACGTCACGACTTGTTACTGGCCCGACGTCAGCAAACTACTAAAAAGATGGTTGGGTACTACCGTTGGCCCAACGTTGACTAGAGGTTGTAAACTGTAAGACGTTGTCTCAACGTCACAGTACGTTGTTGGCCCGATATTGGTAAACGTTTGAAATGGTGGTTGGTTAAAACCGTTGGCCCGACGTTGGTTAGAGTTTGTAAATATTAGGATGTGATAACAGACGTTGTCGCAACGTCAGAGTACTGCGTTGGCCCGACGTCGGTAAACGTTAGTAAAGGGTGGTTACAACCGTTGGGCCGACGACGTTGGTTAGAGGTTGTAAATATTAGATGTAATTAAAGACGTTGTCGTACTTTGTTGGCCCGACGTCGGTAAACGTTTGAAATAGACGTTGG